CCAGTCGAATCCGACTCTAGGGTTGCGGTGCTCATCTCCGTTTCAAAGCCGAAGAGCCAGCGCTGTCCGAAGACATTTCCGTGGTCATGTGGCCGGCATGACTGAACACCAAGGCGCACGGAACGCTGTTACCTTCCCACCGAAGTGGTCCCTATTTATCTACTTGCAATTTCTTGCTTTCGAACTGCTAGGTTGGCAGGAGCTGGAACTAGAGACAGGAGCTCACCCTGTCTTGCGGCACCCGGGTCTTGAACCGCTGAACTACTGACCTTCCACAGCCTGCAGTTCAGCATCTTAACCACTTGAGAGAAGATCAGTCTTTGATGCATATACAGATCGACTTTATTGCTATAGCTCTCTGAAGTATTCTTAAAACGTATTGCCTGCCTTTTTTATTATTATACTTACTGTGTGACAGGGGTTGAGCTTTGTCAGGTACCTCAGATCGTCATCGCGGAGGTCACTGACGTAGTGACATTAGCTCTTATGGCTAGAGAGGGGTACTTAATATCAGTGTTCCGTCTAAGCTGTGGAGTCTTGCGAGCAAAAATTCTGCTTTGTGAGCGACCGGCATGAAAGTGGTGAGCCAGCGATTTGGCTGCTACATAAATAAGTTTGCTCAGGAGCGCTCCTTCCTGAGCGAAGACAAAAATGTGTGAGCCGGAGGCTAAAAACCTGTGAGCTGGCTCACACTAACTCAGCTAAGAGGGTAGGTGGGGCTGAGAGAGCGCCGAAGGAAACTGCTCTTTTTCAAGAACAGCTGTGCCAGAACCATGGCTTGCCCAAGGTCATCCAGCAGGTGCAAGTGGAGGAGTGGGGAATCGAACCCGGTTCTCCCAGATTAGAGTCCGCACGCTTAACCACGACACCAAACTGGCTCAGTTGTAAAAGCAGGGGATCTCCAGGCCCCACCTGGAGACCGGCAGACCTACAAGAGGATTTGAGGTAGTGGCTTAGCATGGTCTTCGTATGGGGCTCTGTGGAGCGGAGATGCTTTAGGTCAGGAGTACCCAACTTCTTTTGGACCTGCCAGCAGTTTTGGAATTCCAACACAGCATGTTGGGCACAGCCACCAAATGGCCGTCCCAAAAGCCGGAGCCAGCCACAAAATGGCTGCTGTCGCTGACCTTGAGCAACACAGTGAAGACCTTTGTGTCGTGGTGGCAGCTCTGCCTAGGGATGCCAGCCTCCAGGTGGGACCTGGGGGGTCCCCCCAAATTGCAGCTCATCTCCAGACTACAGAGATCAGCTCCCCTGGAGAAAACAGATGCTTTGGAGGGTGGGCTCCAACCAGGCCCGTAGCCAGGATTTTTTTAATTGAGGGGGCCTTTAAATAAGTCAGGGAGCACCCTGCACCGACCCCTGCACAAATCTCCAAGGGAGCTCCTGGGCTGGATTGGAAGTCAGGGGGCCTTGGCAGTAAGTCAGGGGGTCAGGCCCCAAGATGCCCCACTGTAGCTATGGGCCTGGCTCCAACGTTCCCTCTAAGCTGAGTTAGTGTGAGCTAGCTCACAGTTTTTTTAGCCTCCGGCTCACACTTTTTTTATCTCAGCCCAGGAAAGATGGCTCCAGAGCAAACTAATTTATGCCATAGCCAACTCGCTCGCTCACAGCTTTAATGCCAGCCACTCATAAAGTAGAATTTTTGCTCACAAGACTCCACAGTTTAGAGGGAACATTGGTGAACTCTGTGGCACTGAACCCCAGTGAGGTCCCTGTCCTCCCCAGGCTCCACCCCCAAATCTCCTGGAGTTTCCCAACCAGGATCTGGCAACTCTACCCCCCACCCCGCACTGGTGGCCGAGGTGGGGGACCTGGCCACCCAAGAGCCTGTGTCAAAGCTACTTTTTCAAAAAATCTGCACAGCCAATCAAATCCCTCAGAAGCCTTGGTGGCCCCACCCACTTCCTAAAAAACACTTGGCGGGCATCGGGAAAGGTGTCAGCGGGCCCCATGGTGCCCATTGGCACCCTGTTGTTGACCTCTGACTTCTCTCAGAGTCGTGTGGGAAGCCCTCTGTTGACCCTTTGTGTGCTGCATGACCGTAGGCGGTGGGAAGGGAGCGTAAGGAGACGGGGACAGAGGGCGCGAGGCCATCTCAATTATTCATGACCGGATGCCTGCAATTTTCTGATGATTCATAGACAGAGAGGCTCTTCGGCGCCTGGTTAACACGGCGGGAAGCCAAGAGAATGGACACCTTCCTCTTCGCCTTCTTCTGCTGCTCCACCTCTGTGCCCACAGATGGTCCCCCTCGTCTCCCAGCTCTGTGGCCCCTTTCTTCCAACCCCCAGCCCACCCACCCAGTCCTCCTGTCCCCCCATCCAAATCTGCCAGTAGCCCTCCATTTCAAATTCCCCCCCCCTTTGACTGATGGACTCTCTCCTGTCTCGCTCTCACGTAATCCATTAGTTCCATTTCGCCTTCTGAATAATTCATCCTCCATGGAAGCATCTCTGGGCACGTATATTTTTTTAGGTACAGATCGTCCCTGGCACCTGGACCCTTTTTTTCCAGCAATAAGACGGGTTCTGGAAGCCGAGACCCTCTCCTGGCCACCGACCCAGCTCTCACATGCTTCGCTGCCGTCTCTGTGATTCCTCAGAGAGCTTCTTCCGTAGTGGAAGACCTTCAGAGTCTGGAAGGGCAGACGGTTTTGTGGGAGCAGCCGCTCTGAGCGTTATGCGAATTCCTGAGTCACCTTCAGCGGGGACGGCATTGAACAAAAAGCTAGAAAGCGAGTAAGGAAGCAAAGCCCAGAGAGATGGTGTGTGAGAATCAATGTGGAAGCACAATGATGGAGAAGACAGAATGAGAAAGCATCCGGAGAGACAGAGAGCTCATGGTAGAAAGGAAGCAACAGACATCCTCACTGACCGACAGACTCCTGGAAAGGAAGACCGTGAAAGGCGGAGGAGGCTGAATCAGGTGACAAAGCCCACGGGAAGGGGGAAGGAAGCCTCCCAACCGGATCGATAACATGAGAAAGCGATCCGACGGGATGAGAAAGACAGGTCGTCTTCGAGCAACACCGTGAGAGGGCAAAAGGATGGAGCAGAAAGAAGCTGAAGATCTGCAGAAGAAACGGGTGGTCGGAAGATAGGAGCCAGAACCGAAGCCTGGCCGGAGCGATCGAGGGGAAACCCAAAATAGACACTGGCCTGATGGATTGCTAGGAAAGAAGAAGGTGACAAGCCAGCAGAAAGGTAGGCTGGACACCTCCAGACAAATCGGATGATGGAAAGCGGACGCCGGCGGCAGCAGTTCAAGGAGGCCAGCCCCAGCTAGGTGAGATGTGAGGGAGAATCGAACTTGCAAAGAGACCGAAAGAGACTGAAGGTGGATGTCAGAGCTATAAAGGGGTGCCTCTCCCCGAAATGGAGTAACTGGACAGTCCTCCCTTGAAAGAAGGCCAGAAAGAGGTGTTCCAGTGAGTGAGGTGGTTCTTCCACTCTTCTGGGAAGGGGGAGAGAGGACGCAGGACCCTGTTCCACCCAAACTGTGTAGAAGAGGCCTTCCTCGGCGAGCCCATGGCACGAGCCCCACCCTCACCTCTGACCCCTAGCAACATCCCACGGAACCTAAGCTACATCGCGGGCCTGTATGAGCGAGCCTACTACCGGACCGCCCGGCCGAGCCTGGCCGAAGACTCGGGCACCGAGGGCTCGGAATCGGAGTCGGAAAGCAGGCCCCGGAGCAGGACCCGGAGACGCCGCCACCTCTTTGGAGGCCCGAGGAGGAGGGGAAGGCGCCGGACCCGCTCCGCCCCGGCCAGGGGCAGGGGCCATGGGGCCTCACGCAGCCGCAGCCCCGGGACACGCAAAAGGGTCCGCTTTGCCGACTCTCTGGGCCTGGAGCTCACCAGCGTCCGGCAGTTCTGGCCCAATGACCTGCCACAGGTGCCGGAGCGGGTCCATGCCCAGCTGAGGCGCGATTCCCTCAGCCATTTTGCCCCTTGCCTGCCTTTTTGCCCGCCTGTGACGGTAATGTGGTTTGGCCTACGTACTAGTGGTGGAGTGGATGGCAGGGTGTGTGTGGTGGTGTGTGTGGTGGTGTGTGTGGTGGTGGTAGGGTTGCCAGCTCTGGCTTGAGAAATTCCTGGAGACTTTGGGTGGGTGTGCCCAGGAAGGTTGATCAGCAAGGATGTGATGCCAAAGACTTCACCCTCTGAAGCAGTCCACCTTCCAAAGCAGCCATTTTCTCCAGGGGAACTGATCTTTTTTATTCTGGAGATGAGTTGTAATTCCGGGAGATCTCCGGGCCCCGCTTGGACCTTGGCAGCGCTGGTGCCGGGGCTTCCTTTGACCGGGTGGGAGGTGGTAAAAGAAGTGGAGGAAATAGATCCAGCACTTTGGTCTCCTTACTCACCTGAGTGGGCATGCTGGAAGAGGTAAACGCAAATGTTGATTCCATGTGGAGGAATCTGCCGCCCCTCAGTGGTCCTTGAGAGACCAGGAGAACCAGATTTGGACCGACGCGAAATATCTCAAGCGATGTTCCCTCTAAACTGTGGAGTCTTGTAAGCAAAAATCCCACTTTCTGAGCTACTGGCCTTAAAGTTGTGAGCGAGCGATTTGATTCTTGCATCACTTAGTTTGCTCCGGAGCCCTCCTTCCTGAGCTACGGCAACAATGGGTGAGCCGGCAGAGGCTAAAAAAGTGTGAGCTGACTCACACTCACTTGGCTTAGAGGGACACACTGATCTCAAGCGGCCTCCGTGAGAGAAGGGAGGAAACAGCTTTTTCTCAGCGATGCTCCAGTTGACCAACCCGGGGGGGTCAGGAGCAGTGTTCCCTCTAAGCTGAGTCAGTGTGAGCTAGCTCACAGTTCTTTAGCCTCTGGCTCACAGGTTTTTGTCTGAGCTCAGGAAGGAGGGCTCCAGAGCAAGCTAATTCTAATTCATGCAGCAGCCAAATCGCTCGCTTACAACTTGAATGCCAGGAGCTCACAAAGCAGAATTTTTGCTCACAAGACTCCACGGCTTAGAGGGAACATTGGTCAGGAGTCCTAGGGGTGGGTTCCAACGGAGAAGTAAAATCTGCCTGCTCTGTGCTTGCTTCCCATTCTTAAGGGGAGGGGGGAGGAAGGTCAGACGTCCTTCGCTGCAATCCTAAGCAGTGTTACTCCTGTCTAGATCCATTTACGTCAATGAGCTCAGAAAGGTGTCGTTCTGTTTAGGATTGTACCGCGAATCAGGCGACTGGTGGATCTGGCCTAAGGAGAAATAGAACAGGAGTTGTGGAAAGTCACTTGTGAGGCGCACTCCTGGAGGAGAAGCAAAAGAATAACCGTTTCCTCCATGACAGAGCCGCAACTGGTCCTTCTGTCGGCACCCACTGTCACACTTGGACGCAGGCAGCTGTAGGCTCTGCCTTAATATCCCAGAGCTTCCCGGCACATCTTCAGTTCCCCCCTGAGAATTACTGGGTATGTAGCGACAGCCCCTGTTCTCCACAGATGGCACCTGCTAGGCTGGGACGTGCTGAAGGCATCCCTCCGCCTTCGGTGATACGTAAGAACGCCCTGCTTCATGCACACATGGCCCAAACCCTCAAGCGACCCCCACCTCCGATGTCCCCCGAGTCCCACCATCTGGGGCCCCATTTTGCAGGTTAGACTGCTCGAGGTGGAATGGCCCTCCATCACTGCCACAGAGAAGAAGCAGAACCACATTTGGGAATCCCTGCAGAAGACAGAGGTGGGGTTCTGGTGGCAGGAGCCCTGCTGGTCCTTAAAGGTGACCACCACCACCCCCGACTCCTGTTCATGATATTTGGGGAGAAGGTAATTTGTGGCACCGCCTGGAGGCTGGAGTCTCTCCCCTTCCCACGGAATCCATCTGTTTTCTGCTTCCTCGCTCGCTTGCTTTTCCCCATAAGCCTTCCGTCTCTCAGCCCCCTGCGTATCCTTCATCCTTCCAGCTCCATCTCAGCTGTTTCTTCTTCCTCTCTCGTCTTCCATCTTCTCGTCCCCTCGCTCTTCCTCTCTCTGCTCTTTTCACATCCCTCCTCTTGGCTTTCCTCTCTCTCTGTTAACGGGTGTGGTCGAATGCCTTTCCTCTGCCCAGTTTGGTGTCGTGGTTAAGTGCGCGGACTCTAATCTGGGAGAACCGGGTTTGGTTCCCCACTCCTCCACTCGCAGCTGCTGGATGACCTTGGGCAAGCCGTCGTTCTGTCAGAGCTGTCCTCGAAAAAGAGCCATTTCTGTCAGAGCTCTCTCAGCCCCACCTACCTCACAGGGTGCCTGTTGTGGGGCAGGGGAAAGGAGTTTGTAAGCCGCTCTGAGGCTCCCTTGGGTAGTGAAGGGCGGGGTATATAAATCCAATCTCTTCTTCTTCTTCTCCTCCTCCTCCTCCCAGCCTTGGTGACCATCTTGGGATCAATTGGTCTTCCTCTCCCTCTTTATCGTTCCTTTCCTAACATTCCTCTGCTGGACTTATTTCTTTTCCCCAATCAGGCCCCCGTTCTCCTTGTAGGGCTCCTTTCCTCCCTTACTCAGGGCAAGAATTCAGGACGGGCCCTGCCCACCTAGAGATGATCGCCTCGGGGGTCCTGGTGAATCTTTTACTCGTGTCAGTTTCTCAGCATTTGACCTGTTCCGTGTGTTAGGGGAACGGAAAGCAATAGAAATATTTAGAAAAGAGATTTCCGTCCATCATTTTATTTTGATGTGTTTATTGATGGTAACTTGTACTGGTCTGGATTATGGAGGGTGGCATCATATCGTCTGTAGGGCGACGTTCTCCTGGAGCTAGAATCCCACCCCTGCCCTCATTACAGCCAACGCCTTCTCCTCCTCCCTGTCTCCGCCACTGCTCCTTCCGTCTTATTTACTCTGCCCCTCCCACCGTTTCCTGCATCGTCCCCCCCCCTTCCCTTCCCATTTCTTCATAATATTTTACTTAAGTCTTATTTTCTCCTTTTCTTTCTGCTTTTTTTCTTTTCTTTCCATTGCACCAAACTGGACTCTAATCTGGGAGAACCGGGTTCGGTTCCCCACTCCTCCACTTGCAGCTGCCGAATGACCTTGGGCAAGCCATCGTTCTGTCAGAGCTGCTCTCTCAAGGACAGTTCTGGAAAGAGCTTTCTCAGCCCCACCGACCCCAAAGGGTGTCTGTTGTGAGGAGGGGAAGGGGAAGGAGTTTGTAAGCCGCTCTGAGACTCTGAGTGAAGGGTGGGGTCTAAATCCAATCTCCTCCTCCTCTTCTCCATCTGCGTAGTGTCATTCTTTCTTTCTTTCCTTCCCCCTCTCTCTTCTGTTCTTTCTTGTGAAGTTCATTTCAGAGGGTGGTCATGGTCTGGGACAGAACAGCCAGATTTGAGTCCAGGAACCCCTCAGAGACCAACAAAGTTCTCGGGGGTAGAAGCTTTCGAGGGTCAAAAGCTCATACCTCAGTAATCTGGCTGGTTTCTAAGACGCTACTGGACTTGAATGTCACTATTATTTCTTTTGATTCTCCTATCTACCAGTCCCCTGCCACACCTTATTCCCCAACTAGCTGGATGGCTTAGGCCAGTGGTGGCGAGCCTTTGGCACGGGTGCCACTGGCGGCACTCAAAGCCCTCTCTGTGGGCACGCGTGCCATCGCCCCAGCCAGGCCCTGACCGTCATTAAAGTGCCGAATTCTCTGCCAAATAATTTTAAGTAAATGAAAGCATTTGGGATTGCTTTCCTTACTTTCTTTGGATCATCTTTAGTTAATGTATGAGTTGTTTTTTTCTAAAGTAAAACCTCAGTATTCAGGTTACATGGCCGTGTTGGCACTTTGCGATAAATAAGTAGGTTTTGGGTCGCAGTTTGGGCACGCGGTCTCGAAAAGGTTCGCCATCACTGGCTTAGGCTAATTGACTCCCATCAGATTTTGGAAGCTAAGCAGGGCCAGCCTTGGTAGGTACTTGGATGGGAGACTGCCTAGAGAAGCAGGCAAGAGCAATCCCACCTCTATTCCTCTCGTGCCTAGAAAGGCCTCCGGGGTCGCCATCAGTGTTCCCTCTAAGCTGAGTTAGTGTGAGCTAGCTCGCAGTTTTTTAGCCTCCAGCTCACAGATTTGTGTCTTGGCTCAGGAAGAATGCCTCCAGAGCAAACTAATTGATGCAGTAGCCAAATCGCTCGCTCACAACTTTAATGCCAGTAGCTCACAAAGTAGATTTTTGCTCACAAGACTCCACAGCTTAGAGGGAACATTGGTCGCCATATGTCAGCTGTGACTTGAGGGCAGGCTTTCCACCACCACAACTAGTTCTTCAACTATCCTCCACGGGTTTCTTTTTTCCCCCTAATCCTCCGTTCCTTCTTTCTTTGCCTCCCCAGGATACTCTGAATCTATGGTGCCCGCTGGAACCCACTTTCCCAGACCCGCTCTCGATGCCCGATTTCTTGCCACGCCTCTTGGCACAGTGCATCCTGCTGGAGGGCGCCCGGGCCGAGGGCTCGTGCATCTCCGGAACCATTCGGGTGCTCAACTTGGCCTACGAGAAGCGGGTCTCTGTGCGGTACACCTGGGACTCCTGGGCCACTCAGCGTGAAGCTCGGGCTTCCTACGCCGCCCCTGCAGGGCGGGACCGGGACCACGCCGACCGCTTTGCCTTCCGCCTGCCACTGCCAGTCCCGTTGCCCCCGGGGGTCAGCCTAGAGTTTGCTCTCTGCTACCTTGTGGGCGGGAAGGAATTTTGGGACAACAACCAAGGCCGCAACTATTGCCTGAGACCCCCGCCCTCCGTGGAAGAGGAAGATGAGCCCCCCAGCCCCACTCGCGATTGCTGCGAGACAGGATGGATACATTTCATATAGGGGGCGGGGGTCAGACAGCCACACCTATGAGAGAGGGGGAAGGCAAGTAAGCGAAGGGGAGCACCAGGGCAAAGGGGAGACTCGCCAGATGTATTGAGACTCGCCTTGAGACCGAGGAGTAGGAGGGGCTCCCAATATAGCTGGGCTGGGTTTGATGAACGGTCAGGGGCTTCCCTCCCTACCATCCTGTTCCCCAAAGTCTACCATGAAGTTGCCAGTTTAGCGCCATCTGGCAAGTCCTTTAGTCAAGACCTGGATGAAGGGGGGGGAAAGGGGACTAACAACTTACCGCACCCTCTACAGTTGTCTTTCGGGATATGGTAACTTGCTATTTAGCAGTGTGTGCGTGCTTCCCCGAAATCACTTGGCCCAATGAATCCTCGTGTGAGGGAGGCAAAGTCACCTCATGTGAGCACTTCGCCTCAGAAAAAAAAGGCCCCAAGAAGTAGCCGTTGCTCCCATTTTACAGATGGGAAACAGGCTGAAAGAGAGGGCCTTGCGTCTGTGCGGAGGAAGGATTCGAACCCAGGTCTTCCACACCACAATCCGGCCGTCTTCCCCTGGACCAGAAAGTTCTCTCTTTAGGGGAGGGGCCGTGGCTCAGTGGTAGAGCATCTACTCGGTGTGCAGAAGGTCCCAGGTTCAATCCCTGGCGTCTCCAGTTAAAGCAGGAGGCAGCAGGTGATGGGAAAGACCTCCCCCTGAGACCCTGGAGAGCTGCTGCCAGTCCGAGTAGGCAATACTGACCTTGGATGGACCAGGGCTCTGACTCAATACAGGGCAGCTTCAAGCATGTTTTCTGGGACTGATTCAAACCTACAGAAATAGGGCGGATATTCTCTGCCTCCCCCTTCCCATGGGACGAATGTGTTGCTAAGGAACCCATGTCCACCTTGAGGTTCATCGAGAGAGTCCCCCCCCCCCGCCTTGGGATCTCATTGGTGCCTTATTCTGAGTGAGAATTGGAGCAAGCCAAATGCACACGCGCACAGGAGACAGGACAGGAAGGCAAAGGCGCCCTCCCCCAGAGTAACGGGAAAGGAAAGAGAGTTAGAAGAAGACAATGGACATTCTCCACTGCCACACCCACGGGTGCATCTCCCTGGTATTGGCCGTTACCAGGTGCTAGGTCACTCGCTGGGTTATCATATACCAAGGATTGGCTCACGTGTTATCTCGTTCCCCTTCTCCCTGCATGAATTCTCGGGAAATAAGAATTGTCTGAATGTTCACATGTGCATCACTAGTGTGCCGGACTTGTGGGAACCCGGGGGCGGGGGGTTGTCAAAGAGTTTGTTCCTTGTGCATGTTTTTACGCTACTCCTGCCACAAAGAAAGAGTTCCGAAATGGCTAACTGGACTGGCTTCCTGAGCAGTGTGTGTATTGAAAACCAGTCAGCATTTGCACCAGATTCGTCTGCACTGGTTATACGTCCGTGTCCCCCCCAAACACACATCCCAAAATGATCTTCACAGAGGAAAAGTGTAATGTGTGAACGGGACCTATAACATGCGGACAGCTCTCACAAAAATGGCGTCTGTGGTAATCAGCCCAACTGCATCTTGGGCATTGGAGCCTATGCTTCGATTTAAATACTTAGGGCCCCAGGGTAGCCTAATCAGATCTCAGCAGCTATGGGGGGTCAGCCGTGGTTAGCGTTTGGGTGGGAGACCACCAAGGGAGTCCAGGGTCTCTTTAGTTTCACAGTTTTTTAGCCTCCGGCTCACACACGTTTGTCTTAGCCCAGGAAGGAGGGCTCCAGAGCAAACTACTTCATGCAGCAGCCAAATTGCTCACTCGTAACTTTCATGCCGGTAGCTCACAAAGTGGAATTTTTGCTCACAAGCCGCCACAGGTTAGAGGGACCATTGCTCATAACAGCCATAACAACACTGGACGCTCACAGTTGTTTTCGGTCTTGTGAATTATGGATGACCCCAAACTCCTGATAGCTGAGCTGAGATACTGAGTAAAAACTGAGCACTCTCCAGTCTTTTACCCCAAAAGTTTTACGTTAGAAGGTATAAATATAACCCCGCACACACACACACACACACACACACTTCTTTTTGTCTGTGCAAATGACTGTTCTGTTTGTATCTCTGGGTTGGAAGGAAACATCCAGAGCAGTGATTCTTGCAGAGATACAACAGACAGTCCCCTCTGAAGGCAATCCTGCTGTATCTCTGTATTGGGAGTAAAGTAATCAAATTACAGAACAGAGTTTGAGTCTACTGGCACATTGAAGACCAACAAAGTTTAATTCTGGGCGCGTGCACGCTTTGCGTACATGCACACTTCCTCAGATGCATTGAAACACTTTCCCTCAAGCCTTACAGACAGGTAGAGAGGGTGTGGGGGATAGCTGCCAGGAAGGGCTAATTAGACTCAAGATGCAGAAGTAACTTAATGTTAAGTATAGCTAAGATTGAATTAAAGCCGTTAGTGACCCCTGTGAATAGCAGCAAATTAGCATACAGAGAATAAAAGAGTTAACAAAGAGATGCGAGAACTGACTTAGCACCTGTAGTGAGACAAGAACCCACTATCTCTATTAAGCCCTGGGGGTTCCATTGTCCTGAGTGCTGTAACAACTTGTAAATGGTCTTAAAAGGTGCCACTGGATTCAAACTTTGTTCTGTTGCTTCAGACCAACTCGGCTACCCACCTGAATCAAATTAGTTGATGCACATAGGGCAGAGTCCAGAAGAAACAGATTGGGGGGGGGGCATAAGAGGCAAGGCCAGAACAGTGATTCATGCAGATATGCAGTGGTTCACTCCTCTGTGGCTCAAATAAACTTGTTATTATTTAATTATTAGTTTCTTAATGTTAATGTATTGGTCATTAATTAATTTATATATTTAGTTATTGCAGTATACAGTTTTGGAATCGTTGCACTGCCATAAAAAGGCATCCACAAGGACCTGGTGAGCTTTGTATATCTGGTGGTGGCCCCATTTCTCCACTGTGGGACTGATAAATGGGGGAATGAGATGATCTAAAAGATCCCCCCCTTCAAGTTAGATCAGCTCTAAAGGTTGGACAAGGGACTGCAAGGAAAGTTTTAGTCTGGATTAGAGGAAGATGCTAGATGTGAACAGAGACTGGATTGATCAGATATTCTTTCGGTGTCCTCCAATGTAACAGCGACACGCCACTGGTGAAACAGTGTATATGAATGTTCATAACCCGCGAATAAAGAATTTTAAAAAATGTCCTAAAAGAACTAAAGAAATAAAAAGCCCATTAAAAGCGGCAACTGGTGTTAACGTGTGAATATGTGACGTCCCAAACGTGTCTGCCTTTCAATCAAGGACATCTCATGGAGCGAAAAGAGGTGAGGTGTCTAAGAAAACTTTCCATGGTCATAGATCCAGAGGAGTTAGCCCTGTTAGTCTGTTAATAAAGTTTGTTAGAAGAGGAGAAGAGAAGAGATTGGATTTATACCCCGCCCTTCACTACCAAAGGAGTCTCAGAGCAGCTCATGAACTCCTTTCCCTTCCCCTCCCCACGACAGACACCCTGTGAGGTAGGTGGAGCTGAGAGAGCTCTGACAGAAACGGCTCTTTTTCAAGAACAGCTCTGACAGAACTACGGCTTGCCCAAGGTCATCCAGCAGCTGCGAGTGGAGGAGTGGGGGAATCGAACCCGGTTCTCCCAGATTAGAGTCTGCGCACTTAACCACGACACCAAACTGTTAGTATTAAAGGTGCTATTGGACTTTTTATTATTTTAAAGCAAACTTTGAAAGATTGGGGGGGGTGTCGTTTGCTTTCCCCGCTATCCGTGATGCAACATTTTGTAGGGGTGAATTCAATATCGCTTCCCTCCATCCTTACAGGGGCCCTTTCCCTTGGAGCAAACAGGGACGCTATTCTGACCGGGGTTGCCAATTCCTGGTTCAGAAATACCGGGAGATTTGAGCGTGGAAGCCGGGAGGGTGGGATTTCGAGAGGACAGGGACCTCGGGGGAGGTAATGCCCTGCCAAAGCAGCCATGATCTCCAGGAGAAGAAGCGGAATGGATGTGTCTCAAATAAAGAAATAATAGAAATGAAAGCACCAATCCGGGTTCCTCTCTTTCCAAGCCCGGGCTGCCTGCTCTGCCTCCCCCCCCCCCCCCCCCGCCTCTTCCTCCTCCTCCTCCTCCCCATCCCTCTCCCCTTTCTCCCTCTCCAGAAATCCGCTTTCTCCTCCTCCCTCCGTTCAGATCCCTCCTTCTTTTCCTACCAGGCACCGAGAGGGGGGCCGGCGGCGGTGCTCCGGGGCCCCCCCCCCCTTCC